AATTAATATTAATTAACGTTATAATTGAAAAAAAATATCAAAAAACTCTTAAAATACTACTCCAACTTGCATTTCAATAAACTAGTTTATATACATCCAAACGAATATACTCAAATAACTGATATTTACCAAACAATACCTAAACTTGTTTAAATACTTGATTAACGCTTAACGTTGCTAATAAGATAACATACCCAATCATTAAAATTAAAATAATTTAAATTCTTATTTTTAAATTATCTCTCAGAGTAAAAATCTACAAAAAATATGTAAAATCTCTATTTTAGATAATCTAATTCTCTATAATTTAAACATAATGATGGTGTCTGATTGGTTTGAGCTTGGGCTCCAAAGGTCAAAGTGTCTGGAGGTCTCATGTTCAAATTTAAGGAGGAATAAAAATCCTCTTATGGCTATGGAGGTTCAAATGCGATGACACCGAGCTACCCGCAAAACAGGTAGTTGCCATGAGATTAGTCGGCTCGTATAGCGGGTTGAATATCCAAGTTGATCAAAAAAAAATTCTCTGTAATTTTTCCAAAATGGGGAATAAAACTTTCAAAAAATTTAAAACAAAATTTCAACAGATTATTCATTTTAGCGATTACAACATATATTATATTATTAAAATATTATATTCACTTATTAATGTATTATTTTTCTCTCTAAAAATTTAATTTCAAAGTTTCCTATTGATGGGAATATATTTAAAATTATTTCTATCTTACGGTAATAATTTTTAAAGAGTTCTCCAAATTTAAAATATTTCACATTCTCTCTCCTAATTTCTTCATTTAAAAAAAAATTCTATAAAATCTGTAGGGTAAAAAACATGACCAAAATTTTAGTTTTGGAGATGCTCTTAGGAGTCGTTTACCAAACGATTACTCAGGTAAGTGAACACCAAGTCATTTTACCTTACCGGATGAATATGATAAGGATAAAAATATCTTATCCGGTAAGAGCGAGACAGTGACCAAGAGTCTTACCCGCTAAGTGAGGGCGACGACTCTTACCACGATAAGTGCTTATCAGGTAAATTGTTGCATACGATACTGTTTTGGTGAATTAAAATCTTATCCGATAAGAAAATAATAGTATTAAATTTATCAGTAAGTGCTTACCGAGTAAGTGTTTGGTAAACGGCCCCTTAATCTATATTTGAAACAAAATTTCAGTTTATGGACTTTTTATCTGGAGATTTGTGTTTAAAATTTTAATAGTAAATTATAATTTTTGTTCATGTCGTTTGTTAAATAATTTTTATTTTTCTTCTTGTAAAAATTATGATTTATAATATATATATTTTTTTTATCCTTGAATTAATTATTACCTTTAAAATATAAAGAACCAAAACATTAACGAATTATAAACAATAGAAACTGAATTAACAATAAATTATAAATCATAAGAATGAAAATAACAATGAATTACAAACTATGTGGATGAAAACTGTAATTTTTAAACCATAAGGATAAAATTTGTAATTTTTAACAAATTATAGGAACTAAAATCGTAGTTTACAAAAAATAATTTAAAATATTATGTTTGGATATTATATATTACAAAAGTTATACTAAAATTGTGAATAAAAAACTTTAAATATCCGGACGAATGACAACTAGTACAATTAATATATTATTATATATGTAAAATTTGGTTTTGATGGGAAGGCTGATCTAGGGGTCTTTATGCGTAGGGTTGATCGAGTTGAAAATATTTGAAAAATTCAAATCTAATATTTACTGTTTAAAAAATCTTAATCCAACCCATACGGGTTAATCGGGTTGATACTTTGGTACATTAAAATATTTTTTATAATCTTGAATATGTTATTTCTTTACTTATAATTTCTTTTTCATCATCAACAATTTGAAACAACTTACCTATATTTCTTACGTATATCACATTCAGTTAATTTTCTCAATATATATATATATATGTATACAGTTACTGAGCATATATACAAATGAGTTATGTAGAGATGTTAATAGATTAAAAATATGTGTATATGAAAAGCATACATGATAGTGTAATTGTCTAATATATATATATATATATATATTAATAGAAATTCAACAATCATATCAAATCCAATAAATAAAAGGATACCGGGTTCATCGGGTTGGGTTCAAATAATAGTAACCCAATATCAACCCAATACCTACGGTTTGATGATTTTTCAACTCGATTTGACATCGGGTTGCTTCAAGTTGGGTTAGGTTGGATTAATCAGGATAATGAGATGCAGAATATCAATCCTTTATTACATGTGATTTATAAGTGGAGATAAGATTAAAAATATTAAGGGTTCAGATCGTTTCTCATTTTAATTTTTAGGGGCTGTTTGACAGTTGCAGAATGATTAAGTGGTCAGAATGATTAAGAGACTCTTATGATATAGTGCAAAATAAAATATGATTGTTCGGTAATTGTTTACAATGAAATTAATATGTTGAATAGTTGAGGGAGACCCATGATACAAAATCATTTAGAGTGTTTTAGAACCATTAAGAGGTAGATTTTTTTTTGTCAAACAAAATTTATCTTTTAATAATTTAGAGATTACCTCTTAATATAACTATTAAAAGATAAACAAACAATCTTGTATTTTGTACCATCTTTGATTATTTTATGTATATAAAGCGAAAATGATCCATATGTGCGAAAATAATATATAAGGTAGACTGTACTCAGAGAACAAACATAAGGTCACAGATGGCAGACTGCGCAAGTAAGAATTCTGGTATACGTTGCTTGGATTGTGATATCCTGCAAACGAAATCCCTAAATTCACTCTCCCCAAAACCCTAATTCCTATTAACTCAATCATCTCTACCAGGTGATTGCTTCACTTTACCTTCCAATTTCATTATTGATTTCACTTTAGGGTTTTCTTTTTGCTGTGTAATCAGGCGATTCGATTGTCATTGCTGATGCAATTTATTGTGGATTGACCGGATCTGTGTTTATGCATGTCTCATGGCTTTATTAGGTTTTCTATTTATCCATTAAAATCACAATTTCGCTGAAAATATATTTATCCGGGTAGATGTGTGCTTGTAGTTGCGAAGCATCAGTTGAATTTTGTTGTTTATGATGTGGATTTTACTGTTCTTTATGTTCCATGAATTACTTGTTCTCGTGTTAGCGATGTCTCAAGTAAAGTGGTTATTCGATTCAGCACCTATGTATATGTGGTAGTTGGTAGTGATATGATTGTTAGGTTTCTTGCATTTGGGAGGGATTTCTGTCTTGCAATCAATGATTTGCATTTTTGAAGTAGTGTAATTCGCATTTCATTTCTACACGACGGTCAATGAATAAAGAACACCATGGTTGGTGGAAAATCGTGAATCATGTTTAATACATATGTGCCAATTATATACTTTTTTTCACTATTTTATATCCACATGAATGTTCTGTTTTGTATTTTTGCAATTATGTTAGTAGCGTAGAGATGAATTGCCAAATACAAGTGGTTTGAATTGCTAATCAGTAGTTTTGCAATATAGATGTGAGATTTAAATTTCTGACTCCAATACTTTCCCTGTCATTTTCAGGCCAGCTTACAGGGTTGACGATATGATAAGAAACTAGATCAAGAAGATTAAGAGATAGATCTGCTAAACTATCATTTCATTTCTTCATCTTGATCAACATAAGGAATATTTGATGGGAGGTTTACTGAGCCTAAACAGTTCTAGACCGACTGAGACCTTTCAGGTTTCACAGAGTGAATCCTGTAAGAGGCAGAAGACATCATCATGCTTTTGGGATGACAAGCCTCGATTGATTCCCAGTCTCCCTGATGAAATATCACTTGAGATTCTTGCCAGGCTTCCCAGAATTTGCTATTTGAATGTGAAGGCAGTGTCACGCAGCTGGAAAGCTGCAGTAACTAGTCCTGAGATTTACAAAGTCAGAAAGGAACTGGGTACCACAGAGGAGTGGCTCTACATCTTGACTAAGAATCAGGGCGATAAACTTTTCTGGCATGCGTTGGATCCAATTTCTAGGAAATGGCAAAGGTTGCCACTTATTCCTAATGTGCCTGCAGAAGATGAATCTAAAAGGGGCTTATCTGGTTTTCGGATGTGGAACATGGTAGGGTCAAGTATCAGAATGGCAGATGCTGTGAGGGGATGGCTTGGAAGGAAGGATGCTTCAGATCAGGTCCCATTTTGTGGTTGTGCAATTGGAGCCGTTGATGGCTGCCTCTACATGCTAGGAGGGTTCGCTAGAGCTTCAGCCATGAGCTGTGTCTGGAAATATGACCCTATTCTAAATTCTTGGAGCGAAGCAAATCCCATGTCTGTTGGTAGAGCTTATTGCAAGACAGGAGTGTTAAACAACAAGCTCTTCGTTGTTGGTGGTGTTAGCCGGGGTCGTGGTGGGTTGACCCCTCTCCAGTCTGCAGAGGTTTTTGATCCTCAAACTGGGTTATGGTCAGAAGTGCCCAGCATGCCATTTTCTAAAGCGCAGGTGTTACCAACTGCATTTCTTGCAGATTTGCTTAAGCCTATTGCAACAGGATTGACGTCTTACCGGGGAAAGCTATATGTTCCTCAGAGTTTATATTGCTGGCCCTTCTTTGTTGATGTTGGAGGAGAGGTTTATGATCCTGAAACAAACACATGGGTTGATATGCCTATAGGCATGGGTGAAGGTTGGCCTGCTAAGCAAGCAGGTACAAAATTGAGTGTGATTGTTGATGGTGATCTGTATGCATTGGATCCTTCTAGCTCTCTAGAAAGTGCTAAGATAAAAGTTTACGATTACCAAGATGATTCTTGGAAAGTGGTTGAAGGAGATGTACCTATTCGTGACTTTGCAGAGTCAGAGTCTCCATATCTACTCGCGGGTTTACTAGGGAGGCTTCATGTCATCACTAAAGATGGTGACCATAACATTGCAGTGATGCAGGCTGATAAACAAAATAATTTGGTTGTTAATCCCGGTGAAGGATCATCTGAATCTGTAGGAACATCTGAACCTGTAGGAACATCTGAACCGAATATCTGGAATGTGATTGCTTCCAGGAATTCTGGTTCTACTGAGCTGGTCAGCTGTCAAAATCTTGATATCTAGGCGAATTACATCCCATAATGCTTGGCTTTTCTATTATATATAGTGAAGCTAACATTAACGTGATTGTTATTTCTTGTTTTGTGTGGCAGCGATCTATTCCATTGGCCACCATATGAGTACATTGTGCGGTTGCGGTAAGTTCACTTGCATGTAGCGTTTTAAAATTGTCAATATGGTCGGTCATCTTCTTACATAAGCATTTGAGACTATGTAAATAATAACTACCTATGTTCGGTCAAATTCTCTAATTCCAGAAGAAACTTTACAATCCTAATTTACCAGCTTGCATGCTGAAGAAAAGTAATGTGAATTATGCTAGTAGTATGAAGCTGCATGATAATGAACTCTTTGCCATGATCTTGATCCCAGAAAAATGCAACCATGTCTAAGCATGGGGAGACAAATGTCTTGATTATTATTTTTGCATTTTGCTTATAATAAAAATAATAATCCACCAGATTTAATGGTCTGAATATGGGGTTTCCATTAGAATGTCTGCTGGATCAATACTTATACACAAGTTGGGGTTACTTGTTAAAAACAATTGCTTTACCTCTTGGAGGTAGAGGTTGGGATTATGTACATCCCACCTCTTCCAGACCTGCTTTCGAGTGGGATAGACTGGGTTTGTTTCGTTTATGGTCATGCACGAGTATGTGACAACTCTCCTTTGCTTGATGACCCATTCTTTGTTACATGATTCTGTCACTCGGGCAATACTTGTTCTCCTTTTGGGGCTTCTCAGAAACAACTTAGGGGCTGTTTACCTAAACACTTACCTGGTAAGCGCTTACGGGTAAAATTCAACACTATCGTTTACCTTCCGGGTAAGATTTGAGTCCACCAAAACGACATTGTATGTAATAATTTACCCGGTAAGCGCTAGCCGTGGTAAGGGTCATTGCCATCACTTACCAGGTAAGACTCTCAGTCCTTGTTTTCGCTCTTACCAGGTAAAATTCTTGGTCTTTGCCATAGTCATCCGATAAGGTAATCTGACTTGGTAAGCGTTTACCTAGGTAAGCATTTGGTAAACGGCCCCATTGCTTGGGCAGAAGTAAAGTTTGTCGATATTCTACTTTTTTATTGCTTGGGCAGAAGTAAATTTTGTCTATATTCTACCTTCTAGCCCCTATGGCGTGTGGGATTCGGTTTGGTTTTAGAGCATCTCCGACAGATTCTTCAAAAGTTCTCTAAATTGTAGAACTAAACTTCAAAATCTCTAAAAAGAATTGCATTCAATTCCAACAGATTCTTTATTTTGGAAATTACGTCCTTGATGATCATTTTTGGGGAGATCTCCAAATTTGGAGAAATTTACAGTCTCTCATTCTTTCTCCATTTTGGAGAATGTGCTCGAGCAAAAAGTTGTCCAAAATTGTATTTTCTTTATTTTGGAAAATATGTTTTTGTCTTGGTTTATGTGATAACGTGTAGACGTAGACGCTTCAATCTTTGCAATCTATTCTTGGATGCATTGCTTTGATTTGATTGAGACGGTTTTTGGAAAGACAAATGGTTCAAAATCGTTGTAATCCCATCCCATGTTTTAACTTATGTTTAGTGTTAAGCACATGTTTTAACTTATGTTTACCACTTATAATTGTGCCCTACGACTCTTCATCTTTTGAAATTGCGTAATTATATCATCATTTGAAACTGCGAGAAATGCTTTTTTTTCTATAGTACATATCATTGCAGCATTTAAAAATTCATCACCGATTTTGTTGCGCAAATCTGATTTCACAATCTTTATAGCAGAAAAACATCTTTCGACTGTTGCAGTAGCAACTGGCAAAACCAAGGCCAACTTCAATAACCGATATACTAGAGGATAAGTTTGATGTTTTTTTGTTTCCACTAGCAGTCTAGCAAGCTCGGCAATACCACTCAAATTGGCAAATCTTTCATCTTGACGCACAATCAAATAGTACATGTTAAGTTGTTTCTCAAGAGCGATCTTTTCCATATGACTAAAATCTTGAGGATACAACTCACTCAACTTCAATAAATCTGATACATTGAATTGCGAAAATGAATCGCATGGGCTCAAAGCTGCTACATTTTTAAGCAATTCAGTACTTACCTCACTAAATCGATCCCCAAACTCTTGAATTTGCATGTCCACAACAGTGTTGAAAATATCAAACTTGTAATAATGACAATTGGTTATGTTGGTCATTTGTCTTCCGTTTTTTGAATAACTGTCTTCCATATTCAAAGCCTTAATGCCATTTGCTTCACAAAAAGAATACATTTCCTTCAAAAGTGTACCAAAACCAGTTTATCTAAATTGTTGCAATAGTTGTTTGGTTCCTCTTATCAATGAAACCGCTTCCAAAATATCTTGATCCTTTTTTTGAAGAGCCCGTGACAACAAGTCTGTGACCTTTAAAATATGAAACATCAAATGCAAATAAATCACAAAATCAAATGTCTTCAAATATGCTAAAATACCAGTTGCTTGAGTGCGACTAAAACCATTDTCCCCGTCCTCTTCAAYATACCGGAGCACTTCAACAACATTCGGAAACAAAGCAATCAAGCTCCAAATGGTTTTGTAATGAGAACCCCACCGTGTATCTCCGGCTCGTGTAAGAGAAAGCTCTTGGCATTTCCCTGTTCCAGTATCAATTTCACACTTACCAATTGCTTCTTGCACTCTATCTTTGTAACTTTGTCGAAGCATGTCTTTACGCTTGCAAGAAGCATTCACCACATTGATCACCATTCCTAACATATTAAAAAAGTTCTCAACTCCGTCATGTTTATTGGCAACCGCCACAACAACTAATTGAAGTTGGTGAGCAAAACAATGGAAGGGCAATGCATACTTGGAGACACCATTTGATTATTCTTTGGAGCATTTTTTTAATATAACTTTACCTACATCCTCATTGCAATCACCAATTAAGGCTAATGTTTTCAAAAACATGCCTTTAGAGATAGACATTTCAGATTCATCGTGACCACGAAAGGGCAATGCATTCTTCAACAAGAACCTATAGACCTTAATTGAAGCATCTAATCGTATTCGGTGCTCATTCTTCTCCTTCTCAGTTTGCTTATGAAAGGCAACAGCAATAGATCGATCTTGGCTCATTAGATCTTTACTTTTCTTAAGTGCTCTATTGTGAAAACTATTGATGTCGCCGACATGAAGACCAAGTCTTTCCGTTTTATTCCAACTATTAAAACCATTTGTCACGAAAGCATCACTTCCACATTGTCCTACGTATCTCTAAACAAATAACAACACAAACAAAAAGCTCTATCCATTTTTACACTATACTCCAACCAATTAGCATATTGATCAAACCAAGTCGGACAAAAACGTCTTCCTTTACTCCTGACAAATTCTTTGGAAATGCATGACCCCGTGGTTGACAAGGTCCTCTAAGCAAATATTTTCTCCTTATTTCATCCCTTTGATTAGGATGATATTCCGAAATCTTTTTCCTATCGGCCGGATCCCAAGGAAGATCGTTCAAATCAATTTCGCAAGGAGCAGAGCTCGATTCAGGTGTTGATGCTTTCCTTTTAAAAAATCTTTCCATTTTTTTCTAGCAATAACAATAACAATAACAAGATAAAAATCAATGGTTTAGTAACATTTTTATTTGCCTACAAAATTAACCTAAAATTTGACATTTCCATTTGATTTGCCTAATTGCCTACAAAATTACTTACAAAATTAACCAACAAATTTAACCTAAAATACCTAACCTAAAGCATTTACCAATTACCACAAAATTAACCAACAACAAAATTATTAAATTAACCTAAAGCATTTACCAATTACCATAAAATTAACCAACAAAATTAACCTAAAATACCTAACCTAAAGTATTTACCAATTATCAATTACCACAAAATTAACCTAAAATACTACACATTGAAGTTGGAAATTAGAATCTTTAGTCTTTACCCAAGAGAAGAGGCAGCACAGTCGCTGAGTCGCACACGGCAGTCGGGGTCGGGAGTCGGCACAACACAGTCGGCAGTCGCACAGGCGGCAGCCGCGGCACAGCACAGTCGGTCAGGTGAGGTGAGGTCGCAGCGATGAAGAAGAAGAGAAGAAGTGAGGTCGCAGCCTCGCAGGCAGGCGGCAGCAGGCTCGTCACTCGTGTAAGTGTTAGGGTGTATGCGGTATGTCTTCACGACTTCACAGATAGTTCACTCTCGTTTCCTGGCTTCCTGCGCACAAGAGGGGCCTCCTACTTCATGTTGTTGGGGGCCCAATTACACATAATCTCAAAATACAAGTAATTTTTTTTTGGGCTTTCCTATTTAATTTTTGTTGGGGGCCCAGGACCCCAACGGCCTTGTACTGTGTCCGCCCCTGTATGCATATGTAGAGGAATATATTTGGAATATATTTGTGAAAGTGACATTCACAGTGTTTTTGCTATGAAGGTTCAAATTTTTTTATATTCTCAATGTTTTGTTGTGAAATTTCAAGTACAAAAATGTGGTCTTATGTGTCTCACGAAAACATGTTGGTTTCACGTGAACTCATCTCTTTATATATATGAGCAAATTCAAAAGAGAAGACAATCAATTTACGAGAAGACAAGAAAGATTATGGGTCACACAATCTATTAATTAAAAAATAATTTTAGAAATTATAATTATCATTTTGAATTGGATATATTTTTAAAAATCTCATTATATCTTTTAGATTTACTTATTTTTTAATTTTAATTAATTAATAAATTTTTTATCAAGTTTTATGTAAAAAAAAATTAGATACACTGTTAATATGTTGTTTTCCATTTTTCATCAAATATAACATGTGATATCTACAATTAATTCATATATGATATATGTAGATATTTTTCTTAATCGTATGTGACAATTGTAAATATTTTTGTTAATCACATGTGATTATGTATGTTTACGTTTATATTTTTTTTGCGATGTAAATATCATCACATGTGATAATACGTCACTGATATTCAGATGTATGTTATCATATGTGATATGCACAAAAATTCACATAGTAGATCATATGTGATATATTATATATTAAAGAAAGTTGATCACATGTGATTCGAAACGTGGATCTGAAAAAAAAGAAAAAATGGTAAAAAATATAATGAATTAATTGTGGATATTACATATAATATTTGATGGAAATTATAAAAAAATTCAAAGTATTTCTAGAAAAAAAAAATTATATAAAACTAGATGAAATAAATATGAATTTATTAAATTAATAAATAAATAAATCTAAAATATATCATTAGATTTTTAAGAAATTTTCCAATTCAAAATGATAATTATCCTGTGTTTTAAAATTATTTTAATTTTCTTTATATTATTTTTTAATTAATTGATTACGTAGCTTATATTCTTTTCTGTTTTCTCGTAAATTAGTTGTCTTCTTGCATGATTCTCTATATATGTGTTTTTGTGTGTGTCCAAATGTTATTTTGAGAAGAAGTAAATAATGAAAAGTAAATAAGTGATCATAACCCTTCATACGGTCAATATCGAATTTGACTGGACAATAATTACGACTTTGACCGGTCAAATATTGCGGCAATGCAAAAAATATAAATGGTAGTTTCATAACTTTTACAAATAGACGACAAACGTGATCATGTATAAACCTATGTGATTCACGTATGAACTATGTGTTCATATATTAACTCGTGTGATTCACATATGAATTATTGTAACTGATTTACATATGAATCCGTGTGATTCTCGTATAAACTAATTAACTCGTTCATATATGCACCTGCGAATTCATAATATGAATCAGTCAAGTAGTTCACATGTGAACTAACTAACGGGTTCATATATGAATCAGTCAAGTAGTTCACATGTGAACTAACTAACGGGTTCACATATGAACATACAAGGCATATTTGTGTCACATGGGTTCACATATGGACCCGTTTGCCGCATATTTATAAAAGTTACAAAATTACCCCCTATCTTTTGCATACCATGCGAGGAATTATCCGGTGCTTATGGTTAAGCCACAAATGTTGACCAAATGAAGAGCTAGGATCACTTTTACTTCTCAAATATTTACCAATTCTCAAATAAACCTCCCCTCCACACACATACACACACACATATACAATTTCAACTGTAGGATTGTCTAGATTTGAAATCTCTCGTTTGGTATGCAAGATTGTCTAGATTTGAAATCTTAGGATTTTGTTGAAAGCCCTCAAACATAGGATTTTGAAATCCTTCGTGGGTGGTTAGAATTTCACGGGATTTCGTAGAATCAGTATAAAATAATGTTTTAAAATATGCTAAAAACATTTATTTTCTAATAATTCGTTAATAAAAAAGTAATTTAATTATTTTATTCATAGCTTGTTTTTATAAATTATTTAAAAAAAAAATGAAATTCCATTCCATTCCAAATCCATCAAACTAACACATCAAAGATTCAAAATTCTTTCAAATCAACCACAAGGGTGGTGCCCGATTAGTTTGAGTTTGAACTTCAAATATCAAAAATGTCTGGAGGTCTCATGTTTGAATTCAAGGAGAAATAAACATCCCCTTGTGGCCATGGGGGTTAAAATGTAGTGACTCCGGGCTACTCGTGAAACGGGTGGTCATCTTGAGATCAGTCGGTTCGCATAGTGGGTTGAATATTCAGGTTAAACAATTTTTTTTTTTAAATTTCAAATCCAAATTTCCTCAATTCTAAATCCTTTCACAAAATCCAAATCTTTCAAAACCATTTCATCAAATTAAACACATCCTTAAATTATTATTATTATGTATAGTTGGAGTAACCAACTTTGTTCAATATTGACGAATCCTATACTTATTTTATTTATTACAATGTACAACTTTTATTTGGTTTTGATTTTTATATATAAGAAGGGTATTTGTGCAATGCAGCGAGATACATCTTGATTTTAATATTTCATTTTATTATTTATCTTACTCGATATTATAGTATGATCTTAGGTAATTTGAAAAAGCAATTATGTTTTTATTTTTGAATAAAATATAAAATTAAATATATCATAAAAATTTGACAAAAATATATCAATATTAGAATCAAATTAACTATTTAAAGTTCATATTTTTGTGTAATTTTTTTAATTCAATTTTTTTATCATAATTTAATTTAGGTTCAATAAAGAAGTAATTTATATTTGGTTTAGTAATATAATTTTCTTATGAAGATAATAATTAATTATTTTTTAGAACTCGATAGTTATTCTAATTATATTTTAGACTTTTTATATTTTAAAATGAGATGTTTATCCTATGTTTATCTGCATTTAATTATACGAATTTAAACATGGAGTTTTAATAAGTTGTATTTATGTATAATTTACTTGTAATCTTGAATTTTAAGTAACATACATCGATATACAATACTTCATGCATAAAAAATGAATTTTAAGAGTTTTTGTCAAATACTTTATAATATTGTATAAATATGGTAATTATTTTAAACTAGAAATCTAAACACCGATGGGCCATGGGCCGGGTTCTTCCAAAACTCGATCCAGCTATATATCGGTAGCCCAAAACCTGACCTTCTCCCTTTCCAATCCCCCCCTGCTTCCCATTTCCCTCCTTTTCAAACACTCTTTCTATACATTCTCCAATGGTGTCAAGCTAATGTTTTGCGTTGAATTAGGGTTAAACCAAGATCAAATTTTATAAGGCTACTTCCGGTTTCGCTTAAATGTCTACATTTGGCATGGGTTCTGCTTCAAATACGAACCCAAACAAGTCCACTGAGGTAACCGGAACTTCTGTAATCGCAGTTTCTGATTTGGTTTTATTATCCCTCCCCCTTTCAATTCAAGAACTTACTCTTTTGTGGTGTATATGTTAATCTTTCATGTGTTTTTCTTACTGGCGTTATGTTATTCAGTGTTATATCCATTGTAGATTATGGTTCTCGATTAGAAGCACACCCCATTGAACAAAGGGTTTCGTTGTTTGAATTGAAATCTGATCGATTGTCTCATGTTATGATTTCGATTTTGAGTGATTAATGTGATGATTATTGGTTGTATATAGGTTGTATCATCTCCCACTGATGCTGTATCAAGCCTTTGTTTCAGTCCCAAGGCGAATTACCTCGTTGCAACTTCATGGGATAACCAGGTTTGCGTGATGTTAAGCAATTCCTTGGCATTATGAATTTTCATTTGCTTAACATTTTTAGTACATTTGCATTTTATTATTGTCATATATGAAGGTGTCTGGTTTCTTTAGCACATTGTAGGTTGGCATAAGAAATATATAGGTTAGGTTTCTACTGTGGGCTTTGGCTGGTTTTCTGATGTAGCTATGAGTTCATCTCCAGTTATTTGAGGTTTCTTAATAACTAGGATCCTAAGGGTGTGTTTAGTATGCACTACATGCAAGGTTCAAAAAGGTGTGAGGTGTGGCTTGGTGGCGAGGTCAAGCCTCAAGCCTTACACGCCACGGCGAGGACGCGGCGTTTTTCAATACGTGACATAAGGCGGAAAATTTGTATGTCATATATGGAATATTATATATATATATATATATATAATGTTTTCTATATATTATCTAATCAGATAATGATATTACAAAAATGTGCATTCATATTATAAGAAGAAAAATCATATAGATGATTATTATAAAAATAGGTTTTTGATTAAATATTGAAATGGAACTTAGAAAGGTAATTTTACAACTTCATTTTAACTGTGAGTCTGTAACGTTTATGAATTTGTGAAACTATGAGTGATGTGATTAGTTAGATCTATAAAAGTGTAAAATCTAAAGTTAAAAGTGTAAAAACACTAAAGATAAAAAATAAAAAAATATTTTTTTGAAAAAATATAACGTCTTACAGAAAACACTCGCCGCGGCGCATCTCAAGACGTCATGGTGTGAGCCACGCCTTACAGAAACGCTATGGGCCATTTCATAACAGCAGAGACGCATCTTGCGCCACATCGCGCCATGGCGTGCCTTTTGGAACACTGGGTACACGACGTGTCATGACAAAACAAAACTTTGTTAAGGGAATATGGTAGGTGAGAATTGTTTAGTTTGTTGGTTCCAATAACAATGGAACAATTGCAGGTGAGATGCTGGGAAGTAACAAAAAATGGAACTTCTGTTAGCACTGTGGCAAAGACATCTATGGCTCATGAGCATCCGGTAAACCAACTTCTTCCACTATTTGGATAGTGAATTTCTAATTCCTTTTCTTGATTTTGACAATTCTTCTCTTGTTGCCCCCTTTGTGGTGTCTTTATTGAAGGTTCTGTGTTCAGCGTGGAAGGATGATGGATCAACAGTCTTCTCTGGAGGCTGTGACAAGCAAGTGAAGATGTGGCCGTTACTGTCTGGCGGCCAACCTGTAACGGTGGCAATGCACGATAGCCCGGTGACTCAGGTTGCTTGGATTTCAGAGATGAACCTTTTGGTTTCAGGAAGCTGGGATAAAACTTTAAGGTACGCAAAACATTGTTATCTCCTCTCTTAAAATCTAGAATTTTTATGTCAACTAGAGTGTTAATTTTCTTAGGTTTTTTTAGATATTGTTACTGAGGCGGTGAATAGGTTTTCTTGACAAGTACTCGGTGTACCATTGATTAGAATCGTTAACTATAGGTTCCCTTGAGTTATACATATAGATTGGCTTCAGTTTCCTTTTCTCTTTACTCGGAAGGGTGCTTATTTATTTTCTTCTCAAATGGTACTTGATAATTTATTTTGAATTTGTGTGCATTAGGGCATCTTCAATTCTATAACATGGTGTAATGGGTCTTGAATATAATCAACATTTATTGATTATTAATTCTGTGTGCAAGTGCTACGCAAGAATTTGTCTGGATACCATACAACAAATTTGCTTATACGTGCACATCTACTTATAAGTTTCCTCATTTTCTTTCTAGAAATATAGATTTATACACATGGAGAACAATTTATTGGTTTCTTACATGATATATCCATCATGAGGGTGGCTCTTGGAACTCTCTCCTCATACCTCCCTTTCCCTCTTGTTGCATTCACTGACCCAAGGTACACTGATCTATTCCTCCACAAATGTTTCGTTTTGCGTATCAATAAAGGAGGATAGCGTCACTCTATTCATCGCCAATTGTAGTTATCCAGTTGATGCTCTCTTCCCACTTCGGCTTGGATGAATGTTAGACCATTGCTGTTAGCCTCATCGTTCTAACCAAAGAATTTGTTGTTACTTCTATTACATGATTTCCACTCGATGATATTCATGTCATTTCCCATTTATTTTAAATAATCCGTCCTCCATGTAAAAGATCTTTCTCTACTCAAACTGTTGAGTTTCTTTCTAGTCATCCTCATAACTGCTTCTTTCATGGTGGTTGAGGTTTGAAGTGGTTTGGTAGTATGCAGCTTTCATCATAATTTCTGTTTTTGTTTGTTGCCCTCTTAAAAACAGTAAGTTTACTTGTAATTGAATCATTTCCTAGACTTCGGATGAGTACAATGATACCATTTGACTTTCGAGTTGTGAGATTCTCTCCCAGAGGCTCACACCCAAAATGTTTACAAAACTCATTATCCTCCTAATACCCCTCTCCTCTTATTTATACTCTTTTACCATTTTTAAAAGTATGCTAAAAACAGAATTTCCCACCTAAATAATATTTTCCACCTACTCTCTCTGGGCCCTTCTAGAATGTCCTTGCAGTACTCGCATATCATTTGTACAACTATTATTAGGGGTATAATAATACCTGCCCCGAACTTCCACCCTGTTCTCAAGGTGGAAAGAAAAAAACAAAGAAATTGTTGTTGGCATGTTACATCATCTCCACAACCAGTTACAAGTTGAGACAACCCCTTCAAAGAGATTTCAGGTCACTATCATTATTGCTTTTCAATGCCAGGGTCGAAGTCAGAAAATTGCAGCGAGTCTGCCGCTCTTGATTTTCAGCCAACTTATAGTATCATCTAATACTTCTTGTCCAAAGTTTTTCTTAGTCTCACGACAATGACCAGTCGGTTGGAAGGAATGTAGCCATTTCATTCCCTGTTTTGAGTGGTTTACGAGACAACAAATTAGGAAATTTTCGTACTTCTCTTCAATATAAGATCAAGCTTGTGTCTTTGCTTCCTTTGACTTAAATTCATTGAAATCATCTCTAATAGTGCTCCACTTATAGAAAGGCCGAGTAAGGTAGACATCCACGAGCTGCCTGTTAAACACCACTTCAGACACCTCCTAGCCCACAAATCTGAAGCAAGAAGCATGTTAGGTCTGAGTTCTGATGAATTAAATTAGGATTTGTCGGGAAGGTCACATAGTTTCCATCTTACAATCATTAGAAACCTCCCAAAACCTGTATGTCCAGATCCCATCCGCCAGTCTCATGTCCCAATTTTGATCCCTGCCGTGCTTCTTCAATATCTTTGGAAACTATACACACGCTTTCCATACCACCCATCACATCCAACTCAGTTTGAATTGTATCAAGGATTGTGGTACCTACAAATTTGGTTGTTGGTTCAGATGCAAGAGAGCCAAGGATTTGATCAAGCAGGGAATGCTCAACCATTGGCGGATGAAAGTCTAAGGGGTAGGGGGCACATGCCCCTAACAAGAAGTCAAAAAAATGTTAGAATGATTTTTTCAAACCCTAACTCATATTTAACCCAATCTTCTCTTGTTGCTGGCCCCAACCTTTTCCCATTGGTGCTCCCAGTCTTCTTCCAGCAACTCACTCACTGCTCCTGGCAACCCAAGCACTGCCCCAGGCGCCCCACTAACTGCCTTCGTGCCGTGATTCTCAGCATTTTTAGTATTTTTTGAATGATTTCGATACTCTAGTCTGGTGTTTCTTTTGGAATACTTGTTAATTTTGTCAGATTATGTGTTCTTCACTGCCATTAATGATGTCTTGCTAAGGATTTGTGGGATGACCTGGATAACCCAAAACTGTTTATCCCGAACCTCATTCAGTATAGATGGGTTAATCGACTTTGGAGTATTTGATACCCCTAGGTGTTCCCCCGATCATATGATCGGATCTGCCACTGCGCTCAACTCCCACAGTTGCATACCTATATACTTTATTTGAGCATAGTTGTGGCTGCAGTGGTATTGGCAACGGAGGCATCGGTGGCATCGGCCGCGGTTGTGGTGGTACTGGCGGTGGCAGTTTCTTGAGATCGTTGCTCATCCCATCTCTCCCATACGCCTTGAGTATGTGACCAATATTGAGTCCGTCAAAAAGAGGAAAGGCCACTTTAAACTTTAGGCATAAGCCTCCGGTGCCTCAGAAAAGATTCATGCATATTCTTGCCATTACTGACCCGGAATTTGTAAGCTGCATCTTATCGTGATTATGATAATCTTACTAGCACCTTAGTCCTTATGTACCATTTGGCCCTTTTTATGGAGCCTTTTGATTAGTTCTCTCCAATGATATTACACAACCACACTAAACAGAAGTTTTTTTGTTTACTTCTTGATAGTATAGCCTTTGAATATTAGTAAAGACCTCCTCAACTCATCTCAATCAGTAAAAGACATGCAATCATTGACAATATATGAGAACCTGAACAATCACAGAATAAGATCACCGACAATCAAAGAACAGATGTTTGGCACTATATTTTACTACTCTAATATGGCTAACTTTTCATTGAAATATTAGCTCCGATGCTTTTGTAATACCATCTGTTCAATATGATCTCCGTTCCTACTATATAATAAATTAGTTCTGGATCTGTTTCTTACCACATTTCAACTTAATTTTTCATGTTATGCCATCTTTTCTAGGTACTGGGACTTGAGACAATCGAATCCAGTCCACACTCAGCAACTTCCTGATCGTTGCTATGCACTTACAGTGAGACATCCCCTGATGGTTGTTGCCACTGCAGATAGAAATCTTATAGCATTCAACTTGCAAAACCCTCAGGTAAATCGTTTTATGTCACCCATAACCATATCTGTTTCAATTTTGAGATACTATCAGGCCGTTGATTACAGTTTATTACTAGAGAATAGTGTTGTGGGATTTGTGTTTATCGCATCAGTGGTCACACACACATCTTTATTGCATTTTTGATGCTTTTTTAAACTTTTGTTCGGCTATATATAGTCAAATATGGAAGTATAGTGTTCTTTTTTCTGCCTTATGGGATTTGTTGAAATTCTATTGGGATTCATCTAAATGATATTAGTACTTACCAGCAGTCTCTGATTGAACTGTATGAAAGGAACTATTTTTGGAAGTATATAATATTTATATACGGCAAATTAAACTCACACACACTTCTCATCTTTGGTGAGACTTGAACCACTGACCTCCAGGAAGGTGGGGTTACCGGGTACATTAGGCCAATAGCTTTTTGGTGTAGCAAATGAACTTTATGTGTAGAACTATTACATATGTGGATTATGGTTCATGAACTACCAACAATTTCCACAAATTGGGTTATCGAACCCCATCTCTTGCTCAGTAAATAATGTCTCCTTGTGAAGTAGTTTGCTAAAAAGCAAAGAGAATATGAATACCTTGTTTGATTTTTATTAATAATTGAACATCCTCACTGTGAGTGGATTGCAGAAGTACAAGCTTTTGACCTGAGACATACTAGGCTCGTGCTCGAGTCAAATAGTCAAATAGTAATTGTGGATGGAATATGTGAGACCGCATGTTGTATCTTCTATAATTGCCAAAAGGTCGATATAATTGACTTTTGTCGCTTATTCAATAGGCAGAGTTTAAAAGAATCGTTTCCCCCTTGAAGTACCAAACTAGGTGTGTTGCTGCCTTTCCTGATCAGCAAGGTTTCTTGGTAAGTATTATCCGATTATTTTTCATAATGCTCTTTGGTTTAATTGAATGCTTTTGTAATAATTGATTTTGTGCAATAGGTTGGGTCGATTGAAGGAAGGGTTGGTGTGCATCATCTTGATGAACAACAACAAAGTAAAAATTTCACATTTAAATGCCACAGAGAGGGAAATGACATCTACTCCGTCAATTCTCTTAACTTTCATCCTGTAAGATATCCTTTTACTGCTACTTACAGAAAGGAAAACTAGTTTATATATACCAGAGCCCTAAGTTATTTCTAGCACCTGTCTGTATTTGTATGTTATTACTTACTCATATTTATCTTTTATGCTTCTCTCTCTTTTGCACACCTTACACAAGCAGGGGTCCTTGCGGAAATCGCCACTCTACTCTTTGAGGTAGAGCCCAGGACTGCCGACATTTTACCCTACCCAGACCCCACCTCAGGGTGGGATATAACGGGCCAATTTAGTTTGGTTTAGTTATAAAGCATTTTGGTACAATTCTTAAAACCTCTTGAGTTTCAAGGGTACAACATCTATAAAGCATTAAGAACACATCACTAAGGCATTAAAAGTTATGAACGGAAGGTGCATGGGTTTTGGAAACCCCGTCTCACCATTTATCTATTTCCAAAAAAGTAAAATAAAAAAATAAAATCAAAACATATTTAACACCATTTATGTGCATGTATATAAGTTATGATTACAGATGATTGTAATTTTCATTTTTATTTAAACATAAATTTTGAATTTTCCTTTTTAATGAGAAATTGCATTAGATTTTCATTCTTGGTTTACAATAAAATTTTAGATCCAGTTACAACTTGTTTGAAGAGACATTAGCATTTCAGACCATTGAACTTGACCCTATACAACCAACTTGCAGAAATGCTAACCACGTCCTGTTTGGATGTTCTAATGTGCAACCTCTTAACCATTCGTTATTCTTGTTCAGGTTCATCAGACGTTTGCAACTGCAGGATCGGATGGTGCTTTTAACTTCTGGGACAAAGATAGCAAACAAAGATTGAAGGTATCCCTTGCAAACGGCTTACAATTACTTGTTTGATTCTTAATTCGGAATCAATTCATTACTTAACCACGTAAACACTTCAAATTTGTGGACGAGGGGAGCATTAACATTTTTTTGAAGCATAAAATATTTATATACGGCAAAACTCACACACACTCTTCACCTTTGGTGGGCCAAAGACCCTTTGGTGCATAAACAATTTCATGGATGACTCGAAGGAAAAGAAGTTAAAGCTTTCTGCATATCATTTATGATTATAAACCGTGATGATAGTCCCAGAAAATAGAAATATAAAACTAGTAGCAATTCTCAGAAAACAAAAGAGTTGAATCTTTTTGGCTAAATAGACATGTGGCTTATTTGAGGGATCATAAACAGGCTGATCACCAAGATACCACCTCTTCGTGCATGTACAAGGTCTAGGGTGCGTTTGGTAAGCAGATTGGACAGGATTGGATGGGCGAGAATGAGGTAGGAGGGTGAAAGACTTGTGCTCGGTTTTAGGATTTAAATTTGACATGGGTAGTTTAGTAATTTACCAATCCTGTTCCATCTTTTGGATTTTGTTCCCACCTATTTTGGTGGGACAAAGAAAAGTGCATTCTAAAAGACATGCATCCAAACGTTTGAAAATGCCTATAATACTGCTCTAGTAAACGTTTTTTTTTTGTCTCACTCAGTTCTGTCCCACCCTTGGACAAGATTTTGTTTCGTCCTGTTTTGTCTTGTCCTGTGTACCAAACACACCCGAATGCTCAAAATAGTAAGATCTTTAGATTGGTACGGGTAAAAGATGTATCACCAAGGCTTCAGGATACATATTCGACACTATCTGGAAAAGTTGTCGGCCTACGAATGTCAATTCGGGAGCTAAAACACATTGGGTAAAAGCGTAATGTAAACCCTAACCCTGTTCGTATAACTCTTTATCTAACATTCGTGCAGGCAATGTCGAGGTGCAATCAAGCTATACCCTGCAGTAGCTTTAACAACGATGGCTCCATATACGCTTACGCGGTATGCCTTTGTTAGCACGTGTATACTTTTGGATTTAAACTTGTGTTTTATATCACGACAATGTGTTATCTGAATTAGGTATGTTATGATTGGAGCAAAGGTGCCGAAAATCACAATCCAGCAACAGCAAAAACCTGCATTTACTTGCACTTGCCTCAGGTATGCATCACTTTTTAAATGGGCAGGTTTTTCTTGAGGGAAATTGTCTGCAATAGCCATTTTTGCCCAGCAATTTACTTCATTGCTGCTTTTCTACATAGTTAACCGAAATAGCCAAGATTTCACAAGTAGCCCTTTAGCAGCTTGCGAGATCCACCTTTTATGAATTTAATATTCATAAAATAGCAATTTCGCAAGTTGAAAAAGTGCTACTTGGCTACTTGCCACGTCATCATTTAGATTTTGCAGGTTGCTATAATGTTACTTGCGAAAACTTGGCTATTTCGGTCAATTGAGTAGAAAAGTGGCTATAAAATGAAATGTGGAGTCCGGAATGGCTATTTTGTGGATAAATAAGATCCCACAAAACGAAAATGGGAAATTTCGTATCGTTCTGAATATGATTATCGTGTATGGTAGGAATCGGAGGTTAAAGGCAAGCCTCGTGCTGGGACCGTTGGAAGGAAATGAAGATATCTTTTGCTCTTTCAAACGAAAGATCCACATGTTTTGTGTTGTTCTTGTCATTTGACATTTTTATTTTCTGGGTCTCCATCGGATCCAGAAAAACGAAGAACAAAGGCATAGAATGCAAAAAATTGTATCCACATCTGAGAATTATTTAAAACTAAGGTAACTAAGCTTCATCTTCTAACTCTAGTCTTCTCACATTTTTTAGTTTTTTTGTTAACTTTTTTATATATTTTTTTACATTTTTAACTTTTGATTTTATATTTTTATAGATTTATCTAATCACATCGCTCACAATCTCACGAATTCATACACATTATGGACTCACGTTTAAAACGAAGTTGTAAAATTACTTTTATAAGTTCTATTTTAAATATTTAATCAAAAACCATTTTATTATTAATAATAATCTATATGATTTTTTTTTTCTAACATGAATGTACAATTTTTAATATCATTATCTAATTACACAATATAAGAAAAACTATATGTAAATATACAATTCTATATATGATATAAAAATTTGTCGTCTTATGTCACGTCTTGAAAGTTGTCGCGTCCACGTCATGGCATGTAAGGTTCGACCTCGCCACATTGTCATGCCTTACGCCATTTTGAACCTTGATCTAAACCCATATAAGAACAATGAATCTACACTTTTAACTTGAAACCACTTACGTGAATGTATCTTTCATGGAAATGAATAAAAACCCGTGGTTAATTGGTATCAAACATTTGAATGTTGAAACATCGGGTTATGTCCGGTTTGTGAATCTGTCCACGATCATAAATAAATTTACATGATAACCTGAAAGGGTTATGGGAAGGGGTTGGGGACGGGGTTGCAGTCAATGGAATGTTAGACCATCTTCAGTCACAATCTGAGCAATCAGATCGTGAATGAGACAAAAAGAGTTTAAAAAAATAGGGAACCAATCTTTACCAATTCTTCTCATTCTAGAATATAGGATTGAGGCACTTTTTACTAAATGAAATTGACATGGTGGCATTTGTTTATTGGTTGGTTTAATTTTTTTAAAATACAACTTATCTAATTAAAAAGTGACTTTAACAAAAAAAAATTAAAAAAATATCAAAATTTATAGTTTTCAATTCCATATAGATAGAACACACTATTAATATATTTTTATACTTACTTTTGTGACTTGTGTTATTTAATTTCAATTGTATGATAGATTTTTTATGATTATAATTTAGATTTAAAATATACCATAATTCGTTTAATTTATTTTTTACATTTAAAGTTAAAAATAATTATTAATTTATTATATATGATAAAAAAATAAAATATATAATTTTTACAAGATTATATTTTAGATTGAATTGGATCACGGTTAAATAAAAAAAAAGTTGAGATCGGGTCGGAGTTTAAGATTGCGTAGGTGGATAAAAGAGAAAATAATATTTTAATTGGATTGAATTGAAAGAGATTATAAATAAACATAGTCCCAGGTGATATTTGTTTTTTAAGAAGTGCTGAAGTCTGATTTCACTTCTATACTATAAATCATTTGACAATAAATCTTAAAAACTATTTTTTGTGCATGAAGTACTGTTGATTAATGCATATTACTTAAAATTTAAGATTACAAGTAAATTGTACGTAAGTATAATTTATCAAAGCTCTATTGAATTTGTATAATTAACTGTAGATAAACATCTCATTGTAAATATAAAAAATCTACAATATAGTTAGAATAATTATTGAGTTCTAACAGAATCATTATCTTTATAAAAATTATATTGCCAAGTCAAAAATAAACTATTTCGTTATTAGACCTAAATTTTAATTATAATAAAAATTGAATTAAAGAAATTGCACAAAAAAAAAGAACTTTTAAATAGTTATTTTATTCAAAAGTAAAAATATTATCTTTCTTAAAGCCACCTAAACTGCATTATATCAATAAAAAAAATGAAACATTAAAATGAAGATGTATCTCACTGTATTCCATAATTGTATTCCATAATTACCTTTTTAGTATATATTAAAAAACAGACCTTAGGCCTTAAGTCTCATGATGTAACATGAAACTATTTGGAATTTTGCAAGATTTGTGTTAATTAAAGAAAGTTTGTGGATCGAATTAATTACTAATCCAATTAATACATTTGGAGATTTATATTTTGTAACAGGATTTGTAAAATTTAAAATTAAATTGAATTATATTTTTATAGATAATTTATAAAAATAAATAATTAAATTACTTTTTATAAATTAATTATTATAAAACAAATATTTAATTTCAACATAATTTAAAAATAATACAACAAACAAATAATATTAAATTCCTTGTAATATCAATTATCATTGTAGAGTTTTTAAATCATTGTTTTTAATATTTCATTGGAAATTAAATTCTTGAATCTAATTTTAAATTTCAACAAATTCCTACAACTTCGCCGTAAAATTGAACTTGATTTGTGCATGTTTAAAATCTCATAATTAATTAATTATTTTCAAGAAAGAAAATACATGATTTAATATTAATAAGAATAAATAATATGATTAATGCATAAAAAATTGTTTTTAAAATTTTTATAAAATGTTTTATAATATAACTAGTTGTGTATTCGTACAATGCAACGAAATGTCAAATTTTCTAATAAGCTTACAACTAAAAATGAGTGCAACTATTCAATTAAAAGTACAAAATTCACTTTGGAGATGGAGAGAAGACATAAATGTATGGGAATGTAAAAGAATGAGTGAAAGGTTTCAAAAATATTTTGAAAACATGAAAAAAAAAATAATATGCATTGGTAACTGGTACTATATGTTGTTTTAATTATAGATTAAAAGATTTTAAGACTGAATGAATAAAGTAATACTACTTAATGTATTATGAGTTGTTTTTAAGACTTTGTATATAAATATATAATATTTTGTCCATTAAAAATTATTTTTAAGATTTTTGATAAATCTAGTTTATAAGGTAATATAGATTAATATAGATAAATAGTATTTCAATTTACAAATTTTCTACAAAAATCACGATGTAAATCCAGAAGAAGATTTGGATTGAGATCGATAATCGATTTCTTCCCATCAATTTTCATCACCAATTAGAGATACGATTGCAATCAATCCACCGACGTTCAGAAACTTCCCGCAATCAACACCAACGTTTCCAAATCCCAAGACTCTTATTTATACTCCTTTTTCAGTTCATCCATCACCACCATTTTCTGCAACTCCTCCTCCTCCTCCTCCTTCATTGTTTCAGCATGGATATGATTATGAATGATGCATCAACCACTCCGGTCTCCTTCTACATCTGGATTTGCGGCAGAAGAATACGTGTCTATTCCGTTTCCCCCATTGTTTCCGGCCACTTCCGTCCTGACGTCTTAGCCGAATCACTGCGCTTCTATCGTCCCCTTCCTTACCCTTATACATGGTATGTCTATGGAGACCAAGCAGCTGTTGTCAATATGATCGACCTACACGCCTACGAAGAAACCCACCAACGATCACCATCTTATTCTCACTCCACCACTACCACCAGCACCAGTACATACTACCAACCACAAGAAGAGGCCATACAGTATTCAGAGACTGTAGATAATGTTGCTCTACTGCAAGACCTTAACATGGATCAGATCAACGAGAGTTTCGAACAAGCACCTGGGTTCGTGGCATGCAGTGGATTGACCAASAAACTCATCTCCAAGAATCTAAGAGTAACCACATATCGTGAAGAAAGCGATGAGGTTTGTGTGGTATGCCAAGTCGAATTTGAGAAGAAGGAGAGAGTGGGAATGCTTGMATGCAGACATCGATTTCATCCCAATTGCATCAAGGAGTGGTTGCTTCGTAAGAATGTTTGCCCTGTTTGTAAAGCTCAGGCTTTGAACGTATAGCCAACATGATCAAGATTTCTTGAACCAGATTCAATTCGTTTCCTACACATATGATAGAGATTTGTGAATATGTGTGCATAGATGGTAGATTTAGGTTTCTGGGGTCATTGCTTGTAATTGGTATTAGTTATGTACGTTTCGTAGAGATTTTCATGTGATTAATGAATGACAGCCCAACTTCAAAGTTCTCGTTTTAAATGAATCCGTTGTGTGTTAATTGAAGCCGTTAACCAATTCCATACTCATATACATCAACTTCAAATACAGTTTCTTTTACATTCTCAATACTATGATTGATTGAAAAGGGTTCAAATGATTGGATCTTATTTTTCATATATATTATTGACTCTTTATTACCTAATATTTAATACATTAATCTTAAGTATTTTTCTATATCTAAAAACAAGAATAAGCTCTCAAACTATAACAAACATGGACTTTTGATTGTAAGATTGATGGTTCCGAAAAAAATGTTTTAAACTCTAAAAGTTTAAAACGGTGATGAAAACTATTAAAGGAAGTGAGATGGAAACTCACTTAATTTATATTGTTTACATAGAGGATTACTCTGAATAGTGGAATTATAAATGACCATATTTTACATCTCACTTAAGAACTATAAAATGTCAGGAATAGACCTTAGATAAACTGGAGGGTTCTCCGTTGTATGTATATAATATGTATATGCATGTAGAGGGAGCTTAAAGAAAACCCCTAAAAAAAGAAAAATTGAGAAACAGTCTGGTAACTATCTATCTGGATGATATGCACATGTGAATACAATTAATTGAAGTTGTTTTTGTTTTTTTATGTACGTGCACATGTTATGCACATGTGCTTAGCGGACAAATTGCTTACAAATTACTTGTACATACATGTACATCGGTCCAGATGAACAAGTACCAGGATGTTCCTCAAGTTTTTCATTTTTTTACAGTTTTTCCTGAACCTGACCTTATATATGTATATAATAATTTAGGGGTTAGTCCAAATAAAAATACTAAATATGGTTAGAAAGTACAAAAGGAAGGTTTATATGTGAATCAAATGAAAAAAAAATCTGGAAAAAATAATCTATTTGAAGACTCATATATGAAACGACGGTAAAGATTATTCATATGCGTTCACATATGTATCTTTAAATGGATTTTTTCAATCATTCACATATGAAACTTGCATTAATTTTCACTTCTTACATTTTCACGATATTTAGTTTTTTTTTTATTTCATTTATATTTTAATAATTTATAAATAGTTATTGAATTATTTATATTAACGTCATCATAACTAAATATATTT